CAGCCTCTACAGATATCCCATATCTGTGGGGACAGATCTGTTAAGCCTGTGATATACAGGGCTACCCTCTGACTGCTGTATCCACTCCAAGCCCTAGACCCAAATCAGTATCCCAACATGCACGCCAGGGCCTGGACCCCAGTTGTGAGTTGAGGATCCTGTTGCCCCAGGGGGGTTCCCTCTACAAACATTCTACCTACCAGGGCCCCTCACAGCTATCCCTGACTTCCTGAGAGTCCTTCAAGTGGATGTGGCTGTGCCCAAGCTCAGAGCCTGGCCATCCAGCTGGACTGCAGATGTCAGCAGGGCTCATCACATCCAAAATGAGAATTCACCATGTGCGATTTCACCCCACCTAGAACTATTACTAACCTTACCCTAAAACCACTGAGACTCTTACACTCATGCTCCTTCTTCCCACCCTGGATGAGTGGGCCTTTTGACCAGGTATAGGCCTGATTACCTCTGCTGAATTTTTATCTACCACTTGAACCAGTAGGGATCCCTCCCCTCCCTGTAATCTGAGAGTAACTTCTCCTCCAGTCTTATACAGGTGGCCACCTGAGCTTTGCTCAGGTCACTGATAAAGTGCCAAACCAGCAGAACAAAGACCCCGAGTCTGACTCATAAGTAGATAGTAGCATATAGCTCAATATCAATTTTCCATTATTAATTCATCAATAACATGTCAATTGGGACATACTAAATGCATTAGCATTTAATATTTCCAAAATTTTATACATACATGTGACCCAGCCTCCTAAGCACACAGACTGTCAGAGTCAGAGAGCAGGGTGAGGAGTAGCCAGCCTTCATCTGATGGGCACATGCTAAGTACAGACAGTGAAAGAACTTCAAACTGCACTACTCTTTTCTTCAGGAAGATATCCTCATGCCCATTTTTCAGATAAGGACACTGAGACTTGAGATCTTACATCAGTCTCCTAAGGTCATGTAGTCAATGAGTGGCAGAACTGGCACCCACCTCAGGTCTTCCTCTGAAGCCCATGATTTTAACATTGCATCCTGCATACGTTATAAAGAAGCAGGTTTAGCACCTCATGAGGGTCCTAAACTGGTGGTCTATAGAAGTGTTTAAATTATTGGTGAAGTTTGGCTTTACTTCTGTTTTTCCCCTCTCATTAAATGTGAGCACCTTTAGGCAGGGTAAAATTCCTCTCTTGCCACAGGCCTCACCCGTCCCTGTTGTTATACCTAGCTGCATTTGTGCATCTCCATATCTCTTTGACACCAAGATACTGAGCCTGAATCCCTGTGATCAAGACCAAATCTCAGTAAAGTTGAGTGCAGACAAAGAAAGTGGCTTACATAAGTCACTTAAGTAAGGAAAAGAAGCAAGGTCACCTAATCATTGGGCCAGAGCCCATTTTATCCAATTTTAATTTCCCCCTCATCCTCCCAGGTCCACTGTAACTTGCTTTTGATTCTTTTCATCATCACATGAGATTTTGTCTATTTGCTCTGTTTAAGAGGCAACCCTAAGAATTCATCTGGATTTTGACTAGAACCTGAAAATTATCACTCAAAAATAATAGAAATAGTTTGAGGGTGAGTCTCAGTGAGAAAGAGCATAGAAAACACAGGAAATCAATGTATTTGGAATAACTATTGTATTACAGCTTAACAAAGCAAGAATCCTTCTCTACCAATTTCCTTGCTGGGGGAAATGGCTCTTTTCAAATAGCCTGTAGGGCTATTAACACTGTCAATATTTTAGTTATTTGAAACCTATATGATTAGTTCAAAGTGTTTGAAATATAGGCTAATTCCAGAAAATGGCACCCTTTTCTAAATTTAAGCACAAATCAGTTGACAGATACATATAGCCCACTTCATCTCCTCTCTGTCCCACTAGACTGCGCAAAAAGTCTCCATGGCAGCCATCTTTATAGCAGGTTTCAGATCTGAAATACACCCAACAATGAGTCAGGGTGCATACTGGGGGTAGACAATGGTCTTGAAGATGCCTGGCTCTGACTGGATCATTGTTTTCCCATAACCTCCAATGACCACGCCTCCTACAGGAAAGACAACCTGGCAGGTGGCATTTGGAAGTCCATACCTCACATCAGGAACAGACATCCACCACTTAGCAAAGATGTCAATTCTGTGAATTGCTGTGAGTTTCAAGTTTTCATCTGCAAAGTGGGAATATTGATATCCACTTTACAGGGTTTTTTTAATAAAGATTACATAATAAAGTGCTCATAACATTTTTAGCAACTACAGACAATAACTACACCATGTAGCTCGTGCTTCCCAAGCCAGTGTGTATGCTCTACTCACCATCCTAAGCATTGCTTATAATAATGTCCTGATTACAATGACACTGCTGCTCCCCCCAATACTATAATAAGGAAGTGATAGATTAGAGAGGTTACATAACTTTTTCCTGGCTCTCTGACTTGAGTAGCATGGCAGGGATCTGACCATGGTCTACTATCTTCACAGTCTGAATTCTGCCCTCATAAAGTAGGTGTTCATTAAACATAGGGGTATGGACAATGATGATGGATGGCAACCTAATACAGTTCAACTCTTAGCTCACCATGCAAGGCGTTTCACAACGTGGCTTTGACTGACCTTTCCAGCTCCATTCCCTGCCTTTCTACCCATGTGGTCTAGCCCAGATGAACAAAGTCCCCAAACAGGCCTCTTCACTTGTTATTCTCTCTGTATCTGAGCTTCTCTTTCTTTTCTCCTCTTCTGATCTGGATGGACATGCTTTTTTTTGCAAAGTCTCCCTCTACTGCCCCCACTTCTCTATGGCTTTCCCTCCCTGGTATCCCAACACCTGTGAGTAAACTCTGCTACACCCATCAGAATACTGGCTTACTATTTTCTACTCTTCTCTGACAACTCATCCTCAAACCCAGATTATGAGCTTCTGTGACATTCACCTCTGAATCCCCAGAGGCCCAGAGTATGGGTTCCATATTATTTACAGAAGCAAAACCATCCCATTGTTTCTCCAACAGAGGCTGAATTCCACCTCTGCTAAGCTGGATCTGACTTCCCACCCCCTGAATTATAGTTGTCTTGTACACAAGCAAATATCCCTCTGCTGACTACTGATTGAAGGACCTAAAAGAAGTGGGCAGATGCTCAGGACTGGCCAGAGCTCCAGCCCACGACTACATCCTTACCACCTAGTCTTGTAGTTGCTGAGCACATTGGAAAAGGGACGCTTCTTTCTTCCCAGTTAGTTATCTCTTTCTGGGGCCAACTCAGCTCCAAGAGAACTAAGCTGGACTTCATTTTTGCCTTATACACAGTAAAATTCCTGCCTCCCAATTTTTAATATGGGTGATGATGCCAGAGGCAGAAAAACAGCTGGATTATGTGTTTCCAAAACAGCTTGTGGTGCTGGCATTTTGGAGGGTTGTGTGCAGAACTAATTTAATGTAGTCACTATTGGAAATAAATGAGAAAATGACACCCACAAGGGTATTTAAGTAGTGGCCTCTAAGATGATATTTGTACCTATGTGAAGCCATCCATTTCTCACCCAAAAGGGAGAAAGAGAATGTGAGTAATGCGGAGAGGATAAAAGGCAAAGGAAGCTGAGCGGGAACTGACTTTCTATCCTTTCACTAACACTGCCATCTACTGAGCCTCCGCCCCTCTTCATGTACCAAGCACTGCAGAGGCTTGAAGTCACTTGTGTTTCAGCATTTTCAGGTGTGGTCTCATTTCTCATTTGATTTACTGTCCTATTTATTATTATGAGGTTTTTCCCCACTCCTTCCAGAAATTAATTACTGTAATTATCCAACTTTTAATAGCTGCTGGTTTGGCATCTGTTGAAAATATCTGAGAAAATGCACCACTACGTTTGATTTGCATATTTGAGAGACAGTGAGGAAAAAAATCAGACTTTTCCTAAATTACTTATTGTGACTGAATAGAGAAAAAGAACCATACCAAATACAATCTATATTTGCATATTTAGTTTGCCTAATTGCCATCAGAGAATAAGCCAAGAGTGTCTTTCCCACTCAGTGATGTCATACAATTTAAGGAGTTTCTTTGAAACCTAGCTCATCCACAGTTTCCAAGCACATAAGACACAGCAGGACAGGCTACTGTCACTTTATCAGTAATCATTGCAGATTTTTGCAGAATGAATTCATCAGTTTGACTACCAAAACCACTCAACCCACCACTCACTTGAGAGAGGCTTCTTGTTACCCTGTAGATAAAACTGTTGCACTTGCTGGCAAGGCTGCAGCTGACCTTTGCTCACCCATCTCCCCACTTCCAGCTCTCTCCCCTTGCAAATGCCCCTGCCAGCTGCAGCAAGTTCCTTACATAGTAAACAGCTACTTATCTTTTAGGGCTCTGCTTACTCACTGCCATCTAAGAAATGGCTCCCCTGACTTCTACTACTTCACCTAAGTTAGGTTTCATTAGATCTGTCCCCACCTCCATACCCACCATTCTCTCTTGGTACCCTATTTCCCCTCTTAACAATACTTGCCACCATTTATAATCATGTGTTCATTTGTGAGTGCATTCATTTAGTCCATCTGTACTGTGACCACTGCCCTATCTCCACATGGATGCAGCCTTTGTGGACAGTGTCTGTGCCCATTTGCTCAGCCCTACATATACCACAGGGCTGAGATCTCAGCCAGAATGGTTAATCCATTAAATGGCAACCAGAAGGTTCCACTAATGCCCAGTGCTATTCCTTAGCACCTGGAACTTGCCTCATCAATTACTTTCAGTTGTATTTTGTTAATCTGTTGTTTTTAGAAGATCCTTTTACCAACATAAGTGACCTATTTTGAATGGCCTTGGAAAGCTGACCACAACACACTGACACTTCTCTTCAAGAGGTGCTGCCCAAGGGTGGCTCTGCTAATCCAAGGTGCAGAGGGCAAAGGCCAAAGAACAAAAGGAGCCTCCTGCCAGAGGGAGCATAAAAGACCAATCCTATGACAAAGACAAAAATATGTGTATTCATCAACAGGTACCTGTGGATGATCTTCATGGTACAAGCAAGGCAGCAGCCTCACCATGATGCACACAATTCCGGGGTGCATGATAACAGCATCACCATCATCCATCCTGTAGAGAGATGGAAAGCAGGACATCAGATATGAGCTCTTCTAGTCTCTTCCCCACTTCATGGAATTTTCTGGATCTTTCTTTGTGAGAGAGAACATGATCTATATTCCCAGTTTATCACTTAGTACCTAGATGACCTTGAACCCTTCCACCTGAGCTTAATTTTTCTCAGTTGTACAAAGGAGTTGACAATATTGCCCTTTCTTCCTAGAGACATAGAGACGTGTCTTTGTGCCGAAGTTAGTTCCCTGGTTCTTTTTCCTTCTCTCCAGATGTGTAGGAGACCAAGAAGCTTTCATTTTATATTGAACAACGTTACAGATTGAATATGAAAGTACGACCCAGGGGATGTGACTTCAAAGGTTAGACTTGGTCCCTGACCTCTTCCCCCTCACTCTCTGCTTCCTGTCTGCCATAAGTTAATAGCCTCTGCCACAGACTCCCACTCCATGGTGTTTTGACTCACCACAGTCCCAGAAACAATGGAACCAAGGACTATGGACTGAAACCTCTGTAACAGTGTGCCCAATAAATTTTTCCTTATTTTAAGTTGTTCTGTCAGGTATTTTGTCACAGTGAAGAAAAGCCTAATAAACACAAGCACACACACACACACACACACACACACACACACACACACACACACAGGCTTCTGGATCCATTCACAATGGTGTAAACACACTGTGAGGTGTCCCATTAATTGAATGAAGTAAAATCCTAATGGAGCTCAAAGTTCAGCTTTCTGAGGACTCTAAAAAATAAACGATGGCAGACAATGGAACCAAACTTGATACACCATGGGAGTGGCAAAGATTTCTGGGGTTTTCCCCTTCCAGTATCCCCTGGTTGGGAAGCATATGTAGCTACACCATGGAACTATGCACCAGGTGTAGATGGAATGGAAAGACAGTCAAGAGAAGACCTCTATTTCTAGTCTGAGGTGTGAGAAGGGAGGTACTACAGATCATAGAACATGGAGGAAATCCCTAGAATTTTCTTTATTTAGTTTCTCCATTCTTTCCTACCCCAGCCTCTGGTAATTCTCTCAGTAGTTGCAGAAGGGGTAACGACAGCCAGGCAGATTCTACAGCTTTCAGGGAGGAGAAACCTCTCTGACCAAAGGATCTGTGGTCCTAGGAATGTAGATGAAATCTCCACTGTTCCCCCTAACCCTTTTTTCTCTCTTTGCTTTGCACTAGAGACAGATGCAGTTGGATATAAGATTAGAGAAGCTAAATCCCCAGCTTTTTAAATAGCAAAGACGAAAGGGGACCACAGGGTGCCAGAAACTGTTAGGGGGAGGATGAAGAGGAGAAGTCTGAAGAAAGTGTGACCATGGAGTTGTGTACTCACTTTTGTGTTCTGTTGGGACTATATGCGTGTGGGTCTCACCCTAACCCACCCTTCAAGACTGTCTAATGCACAAGACAGTGTGGGGAGTGCATCACATTGCCCTGAAAAGTCCTTGAAAACTGAACTTGTGGCCTGAACTAAACTACATTGATTGTCTGCTAAAACAAAATAATCAATCTTCTCCATAGATGCTAACGAGAGCCAGATTTTATCAGATAATATTCAAAATGTCTAGGCGACAACCTAAAATTGCTCAAGATAGAATAAACCAGGAAAGTCTCAGGATCACAAATGGGAAAAAAAAAAACAACAGATGCCAGTATTGAAATGACACCAAAGGAATTTTCAGATAAAACATTTAAAACAGTTATTATTAACCAAAGTCTATAATGTAAGAATGAACACCTTTGAAATAAAAGAAAATGAAGAAGAAACAGAAGCAATAAAAGCAATCAAATGTAAATTTTAAAACTGAAGATGGCAATAAACAGCTGTTTTTTAAAAACTCATTGACAGCCCTCTGAACATCATTCCAAATATTAATTATGGAAACCAGGATTGTAAAATAGGCACAGTGTTTGTGGGGGGGATTAGTGCCCTCCCACTAGTGAACTAAGAAAATTAAAGTGATGGTATGTGGTAAATGGACTTCATAAACCTACATGAAACAGAACTAGAAAACCTCTTGCAATTGCTTTAAGTGAGGTGAGGAGGGGATTGAGGGGGAGAGACGATGGGGGCAATGTAACCAATGTACAATATAAGTCTAATCAGAATTGTCACTATGAACCCCCCGTATCATGAATATATCCTAATAAAAATTTATTTTTAAAAACTCATTGAATGAGACCAATTAAAGAATGAAATGAGAAAGGAAATTCCATGAACTTGAAGATGGACCAATAGATAGTCCTTAAACTGTATGACAAAGGGGGAAAAGATTTTTAAAAATGAGATTCTCAAGCTCATGTGTCACAATGACAAAGTATCTAACATTCCTGTTATTGGAGTTTCACAGGAGAGAAGAGTTTGATGTAAAAAGAAAATTTTTTGAGAAGTTTTTTGAATTCTTTCTTCAAATCTGGTGGAACATATATGTAATCTTAAAGATTCAAGAAGTTTTGCAAGAATCAAACAAAATAAACAAAGAAATTTATGGTTGGCCACACCATAGTCAAACTGATGAGCTCAGAAACTGAGAAATTCTTATAATAATCAGAAAAAAAAAGTACATATAGGAACAATTTCAATAACTGTAAATTTTCACATCAGAGAGTACAAGGCAGGGGAACAACATTTTAAACGTGTTACAAAGAAACCAACAGAATTAATTCCATACCCAGAAAAACTATCCTTTAGGAATGACCACAAAATAAATACATTCCCAGATGAAAGAAAACAAAGGAATTTCTTACCATCAGACTCATTTTAAAACACTGCTTTTAAAAGATTCTCAAAAGATAGGGAAAAACAATAAAGGGAAACAGGCTTTAGAAATGAAGAAAGAACAAAAGAAATGGTAACTATTTGGATAAATGTAATACACTATTTTTTCTCCCCTTAAGTTCATATATATATGGTGGTTGAAAGCAAAATTATATTAGATGTAATATGTGAGACAGTCATAACAAAGACAGGGAAATAGAAGGGGCCTGTGTGGAAGCAAGCTTTCTATAATCCATTTAAAGTGGTAAGATGTTATTGTACTTATACTGTTAAAAGTTATGTATTTTATAATGCCTGTTGCAAGCACTAACCAATAAAAACTAGTCAAAAATTCAATAGATAATGCTTACTTTGGCAACACATATACTAAAATTAGAACCATACAGAGATTAGCCTGGCCCCTGCATAAGGATGACACACAAATTCTTGAAGTGTTCCATATTTTCAAAAAAAATAGATAAATTAAAATATACTCAAGCTATCCCAAAAAAACAGGAGAAAAGAGAAACAAGAATAAAACAGAGGTTGGGAAGGGGAAACAAAAAAATAGAAGGCCTAAATTTAAACACAAAAATAATTGCACTAAAAAAATTAATAGATCTGGATTGAGAGCATGGCTTAAGTGGTAGAGTACCTGCTTAGCAAGCTCAATATCCTGAGGGGTATTTAAACCCCAGTACCACCAAAAAAAGAATGAAAGTTAAAAAATTAATAGAGCCAAATATATTTATCTGTATATGTGTATATGTGTGTATACATATACATGTGTGTATATGAGATATATAGATATATATATGTATGTATATCTCAGAATGAATCCCACCAAACACTATGAAAAATGATAGTCTAGCTGATTGGATTAGAAAACAAGATCCAATCATTTGCTGCCTGCAAGAAAAACACTCACGACAGCATACATATACTGAAAATGAAAGAATGAAAAATGATGTTCCAAGCAAATGGAATCTGGCAGCAAGCAGGTATACTCATATCTTAAGGTAGACTTAAAGTCAAAATTAGTCAGAAAAAACAAATGTCACTACATATTAATAAAGGGAACAATACATCAAGAAGATATAACAAATGTAAATATATATGCACAAAATGTTGGTGCACCCAGTTTCATGAAACAAATATTACTAGACATAAAGGGATAGGTAGAACCTAATACAATAACAGTAGGTGATTTTAATACCCCATTCTCACCAATTGATAGATCATCCAAACCAAAAAAAAGAAAAGAAAAGATAAAAGAAACATCAGAATTAAATGACACTAAGTCAAATGGATTTAACAGATAGCTACAGAATATTCCATCCAACAACTGCCCCATACACATTCTCTTTAGAGGTCCATGGTGCTTTTTCCAAAACTGACCAAATTTTAGGCCAAAACATAAGTCTTAACAAATACAAAAAAGTAAATAAATAATTTCTTCCATCTTCAGAATGATAATGGACTGAAACTACAAATCAATGGCAAGAGAAATGGAAATTGTATAAACACATTGAGGTCGAACAACACACTTTTGAATGATCAGTGGTTCAATGAAGAAATCAGGGGGAAATTTTTTAATTCCTAGATGCAAATGAAAATGGAAGCACAACATCAGAAACTGTAGGATACAGCAAAGGCAATTTTAAGAAGGAAGTTTATAACTGTAGTGCCTACATAAAAAATCAGAGACATTTCAAATAAATAACCTAATGATTCACTTCCAGGTCTTAGAAATATTAGAACAAACCAAACTTCAAAACACTAGCAGGAAAGAAATAATAAAAATTATATCTGAAATTAATGAAATAGAATCTAAAAGAATAATAAAAAATGATCAATGAAATAAAGAGCTTGTTCTTTAATAAAAACAAACATATTGACAAACACTTAGTCAACTAACCAAAAGAAAGAGAAGACTCAGATTAACAGACTTAGAGATGAAAAGGGAGATATTACAATGATAGCACTGAAATCCAGAGGATCATTAAGGATTATTTTTGAAAAATTCTACTCCTATAAATTGGAAAATCTAGAAGAAATGGATAAATTTCCATACACATATGACCTGCCAAAATTGAAGGATATAAAAAACCTAAACAAATAAATAATAAGTAAAGATGAGTAATACAATGATAAAAAGCTTCCCAACAAAGAAAAGCCTAGGTCCAGATGGATTCACTGCTGAATGTTATCAGACGTTAAAG